AGAGGGGCAGTATTTGAAAATGGACCTTTATTGTCATTTTTATCTAAAAATGGCCTTTATTGTCACTTTTATCTAAGAAAAGAATGTGACTGCTCCCTTTTATGATTAAGTAGTGATGTGTACAACTTTTAAACTTTAAAGGAATGTCCTCAAACAAATATTCAAGCTACCTATTCATTTAGCAAAATAATTTGAGCAACCACTCTGGGCTGTGGAAATGCAGTAAGCCAAACATAGTTCCTAGAATTGTATTCATGATAGTTGTATATTTCCTTATATGTAAATTGAATCAACACTATTTTTGGTACTCATTGCTGATTCTCTTAAAATATACAATTGGGCAATGAAAATTTAATAAATATCTAAGTACGTAAGAAGAATACATTAAAATAGAAATATTTTAACTAAAGCTATGCTTAGTACACCCTGAGCTCTATTTATAGGCTTGGTGTATGAATATAAAATGTTATAAATCAAGGGTCATTTGAAAGATGAAGAGATAACTTACCTTGTATTTTTAAAAATCATTTAAAAAATATTTCCTTTTTAATAATTCCTGATGATGTATTTTCTCACTGAAATAATGCTTTACATTGACACATGATTCGTTATTACATTAGGAGGAAGCATTAATATTTCCTCATTTATGTTAACATCTGGAGTTATATTTATTAAATGACCTGAGGATATTAGCATTAACAATAACAGTCATATCTAGATAAATCTGCCTTCACATCTGCAGACATATGACATCATCCAATAGCTAGCTGACACACAGATTATTTTTATTATTAGCAATGATAATTAATAGAAATACTTTGTACAAAATATAGTTTTAAGAGCAATTATACATTATGAGAAAGTTATTATATACAATATATTTTGTATTTATTTTCTTAAATAAAACCTTTTATTTTACTTCTCTGCTAATTACCAAATATTTTAGTAGTTTCTCATTGTGTACTAAATAACATATGAATGCTTTGTCTGGTATTAAGGCTTTCCTTGATCTTACCCCAATTTACTTTTATAACATGTCCCCCACTATTTCAATGTATCCCATTCCTCATCAAAGCTATACTTGACCCAGCTCTCTATATATGTTATGAATCATTCCACCTATTGTTCTTCCCCTTTAGTTTCCAGCACTTAGACTATTTCCTGAACTGATCTCTGCAGGTCTAATTCTACCTATCAGTTTAAAGACAGTATTAGATCTAATTCTTCAGTGAAGCCTGTCCTCAATTACCACGAAAAATAAGATTCAAAGGAGATTCAAATTCTTTGGCATTTATCTATAGTTTTCTCTATACTTTCCTAAAGACTTTCAGCAATTTTATCTTGTACTTTTAGTCACTAAATATTAAGCATATTTATTAAACATCTGACAAGCAGGGTGCTAGTGAGACATCTGGGTAAAAGGAATAAGAAAGTACATTTTCTGGTGAGAATTAAAAATTATTAGGAAACCAGCTAGATGTTATTTTTCTTTTTGTTATCACCATGTGTCAGCCATTCTAAACAGTAGCGGGGTCAAAATACAACTGCCATGAAAGGTTTTTGTTTGCTCAAGATCTAAATAACTGCTGTGCTGACCATCATGTTTCTATTATGGATATGTACACATATCCGTATAGTCAGCCTCCAATACACATAAACTCAGCTGCACACATGTTCTAAAAGCAAGTTCCTAATGACTTGGAATCATTCAAGTTTTGAAACAGTGAGACATAGACCAGTCTGTGAGGTGTCAGATCTTGTTTGTTAAGTGCGGATTTTAGTTCATGAATGGAATATTTTATTTCACTTGGTCATCTTTAAATTTCAAAATTACTATTTTTAAAATTATTTGTTATAACCCTAAAGGAAAATTCAATAAAATGTAATCGTTAAGTAATAATTATACAGAGCTATTACTGAAAATGATTCTGTTGTTCAGAGGGATGTAAAATGTGATTAACTCTGGGTGTCATGGTGTTAGGTACTAAAGCTATAAAGATAACTAGCGTCTCCAGACCTCTGGATCTTAATTGCCTTCTTAGATTTCCCCCAAATCTAAGAGGTTTCTGAGATTTGCTTTGTTGCTGTTATTATATCATCTTAAAAATCGCATGCTCGTATTATCCATGTTAACACCAAAGGGGATCTCTGCCTCCTCCTCCCATTTTCTTCAAGAATAGCAGTTATTTGTTTGAGTTTCAATTCTCCTGTTTGAAGTAGTCATTTAGAAGTTTTCTGTAATTTAACTTAACTTCCAAAGATGAAAGAAACATTGGGAAGGCAGCTCCTAAATGTACAGCCTAGAAATTTGACAGTGAAGTTTGTATTACCTTTACAGATTGCAGATTACATGAAAGATAAAGTTTTTATAGACTTTATATATAAAGGAACATACATTAATGGAAATTATGGCCCTAAAAGTAATTTTTGGAGATGAAAATTAAGTACTTATTATATTTAAACTGTGAGTCTCATTTTATTTATCATAAGCATAGCAGATCTAGTTGAGTCAAACAAAAAAAAATCATATTAATTTGGTGTTCAAAAGGACATATTAAATTATAAATAGTAAGTATATGTTTTTATGGTGAATTATTCAATAGTTTAACTGAATTTGGTTGGATGAGAAAATAAACACTAAAAATTATTAAAGTCAGGCAAGAGTGAAAAGTGACATAAGCAGTCTTAGAGTTCTGAACACAGTTTTTCAATTACTGTGTTGTAGAGATAAAGAGAACTATTGCAGTAGTCAATGCAAGGAGATAGGAGAAAACAACATAAAATAAAAATAAGAACTCTCTCCCAAAAGATTTGAGAAATGAAAAATAAAAATCAAACCTAAACTGGGAATGCTAAATGCCCACAAGAAAGTGCATTACCAGACCAGGAGAAAATAAAGGGAAGGTAGAAGATGTACTGAAAACCCATACAAAAGAGACAAAGGATGACACTTACCTCTGAAGAAGATTTTTATGAGGAAGAACCTATAATTCTAGAAAGAGAAGTGAAAACTGGTCTGGAAATATTGGGAAGAAATAAATAATCAGAGTTAGATGGAATAATGATATAATTATTTTAAGCCACTTTGTCAAAATCCTAAGGAGAAAATGTCCAGAAATGTGGAAAACAAAGCAATGGCCTAAGAACTAGAAATATTCAATACATATCCCCATTTTGGAGAAAAGAGATGCCAAGGAGTCTACTAGTAAATTCTTAGGACCATTACTGTAATTCCTACACAGGTAAAGTGGCCCTCACGGTGATGCAACAAAAACTTCTCCCTTACATGGAACAAGAAATGCCAGCTGTTCAAGCTGGATTCAGAAAAGGAAGGGGTGCTCTAACTGTAAGCATTTTTTAGATATGAAGTGCCGCAAAGAATTTCGGAAGAAGAAGATTGGGCTGGGACCGGATGGCTCAATGGATAGAGCGTCGGCTTGGGGACTGAAGGGTCCCGGGTTCGATTCTGGTCAAGGGCATGTACCTTGGTTGCGGGCATATCCCCAGGAGGGGGTGTGCAAGAGGCAGCTGATGGATGACTCTCTCTCATCGATGTTTCTAACTCTCTATCTCTCTCCCTTCTTCTCTGTACAAAATCAATAAAATATATTTAAAAAAGAATAAAAAAGTCTTTAAAAAAAATAAGATTGGTCTATGCAGTATAGACTGTAGTAAAGCCTTTGACTGTGTGAATCATGAGAAACTATGGGATGCTCTAAAAGAAGTGGGTGTGCCTTAGCATTTGATTATCCTGATGTGTAACCTGCATTGTGGACAGGACACATTCAGATCAAAAATAGTTTCCTGAAGGCAAAGGTATCAGACCAGGGTCCATTTTAGGGCTAATAGGAAAAAGAACCAAAACCAAAACAAAAAACTTCATTTGAAATATGGTGTTGGAGGAGAGCTCCACTGATAGCCTGAACTGCCAGAAAGACAAACAGTAGGTCCTACAGCCTTGTCCTATGTTGGGATCATCATGAGAAGGCAGAGTTCTGTAGTAAAGACAATAATACTGCGGGAAATAGAAGGCAGCAGGAAAAAAAGAAGACCAAATGGGAGATGGATGAACTCTATAAGAGAAGCCTTAGGCATGAGTCTACAGGAACTGGGGCAGGGCTGCTGAGGACAGGACACTGTAGACATTACTCACTCGTAGGGCCACCAGGAGTTGGCGCTGACTCAATGGCATGTAACACACCCACGCCTGTTTATTCCATTTAGTTGATTTAAATGCTTATATATTACTAAATGTTTTTAAAAAATTAATGAAATGATCCAGAGTAAAATAAAATATGGAAAATCAAGATGGTTTTAATCTGTATATGTTTATGTTGCCTTGGAGTTTAATTAGTAGGTAAATTTGGAAAATATTTTTTTTAAGTCTATATTGAAGCATATTTATAAAGATGCAAATATTGACCTAAATCATATACATGATATACAAGTTGGTGCTAGCATTTATACAACTTTAATATACTTGAACATTTCACACATTTGTCATTTAGTCATCAAAATAACCCTATCTCAAAGCGTTAATTCAATTTTATCTATGAGAAAACTGTTTTTAGTAGGTCATTGAGCAAGAATTGGCAGAGATGGAAGTCAATTCCAAGCCTGCCTTATTTATTTATGCCTTACATGCATCTACTCATTCAGTAGATGTATGCTGCTTACATTGAATTCCTTTAACCATGAGAAAAGCATTTAGTGTTGGGAGACAAAACTATCTTTTCTTTTTTTTCTTAGTTTTTATTTATTTACTTATTTATTTATTTTAAATTTTTATTGTTGAAATATTACATATGTACATTCCCCCACCCCTACTGACCTCTTCTCTTTTCCCTCATTTGCAAGTTCAAAGACTGGAATATGTAGGCTCTCTGTCTTTATAAGCAATGGCACTAATAGACACTGCCTGTCATCACCACCATTTTGTAGATGGTGATCAACTCATGATGGTAATTCTGTATCTTTATTTCTTTTCTTTTTTTTTTCAGAATGATGTAGGAGGACAACGCAGCCTGATAAACAAGTGGACAACTTTTCTTAAGGCCAGATTGATTTGCTCAATTCCTGGAAGTGATGGGGCAGATACTCATTTTGATGAGCTCCGTAAGTCACATATTTCATTTTTCTTTAAAAAAGTCTTATTGTCTAATTAATTCAGCATTTATTTATTTTAGCCCCGTCTGCCTGATTATATAGCCCAGTACAACTTGAAGGAGTGGTTCTTACTAAATTTGCATACATAAGAAACACAGATGTGCTCTAGGTCTGTAATGAAACAATTCTTCTTCAGAGTTAGGAGGGAAACAAAACTACAGCCAGAGACACTAGCTCTAGGACTATAATGCCCATGCATTATCCCTGAGTCTTTCACTTTGGAAGGAGCCACTCTTCCAAACAGGTAGAAGGACCCTGGATTCCTTATTCTGTGGATGTTCCCTGCTGGACCACATAGGAGACTTGGTGAACTCTGTCCCTCAAACTTTTTAATAAAAATACTAATTTTTTTAAAGAGAGGGGAGGCGAACATATGTAATACTTTCAACAATAAAGGTAAATTTTTAAAAAATTAAATAATAATAATATTCAGAGGAGCATTAGACTGCTTCTTTCTGTCACCCCCCCCCCTCTTTACTCCTCTCAAAGCTAATACAAGAAGGAACTTTTTCAGTTTCATATAAATTGAGTATTATTACCTTTTATGTTCTTGAATTTGTCTTTGTTGGCAATGTAAAAAATGTTGTATTATTGATGATTTTGTCAGGATTGTATTTTATAGTATTAAAGCATATATTCAGTATTCATGGCTAATCTCTAATGTTGACAAAAGCATGCTCACATGTTAAATAATCTTTTAAAACTATTTTACACATACTTCAGTGTCAGTGAAAAGCACAATACCACACAAGTAATTAATTGGTGCAGCTATTTTCATACATTTATCAAATAGGTAATTCAGTCACTAATAAGTTGACATAATTACAGGACAACACTTTTTACAGCAGTGGATAAAAATAGCCTATGTTTGTAATTTCTATGTGAAATCACCTACTCCTCATTGGAAATACTGATGGAGATTGTCAAGCAAACCATTCCATTTATAGGTGATGGAAAGAAACACCGAAGAGGTTAAATGTCTGATTCCATGTCACACACCTAGTAAGAAAACCAGCCTTTTGCCCTTACTTTCTCATGCAGGAATGTAATGACTTTCACTGTTACCTTCACTTTATATACTGTTTAGAGTTTCAGAAATATTGTATTATTAAATAAAAAAGCAAGCATGCTGACTCAAAAACTAAAAATATAGTGAATCATTATTTTTTTCCCCATTAATAGAAGATATTTACTTACTCCCCACAAGAGATGAAAGGAACCCTGTAGTATATGGAGTCTTTACCACAACCAGGTAAGTTAAAAAAAAAATGCTTGTAATTCTCCTAGAAAATTGTTCTTATAAGTAAGAAAATACAGTTACATGTTTTGTCCCTTCCTTTTGTGTGAAAAAATACGTTTTTTTTTTAATTTTCCTTTTCACCTAGTGTTTCCTATAAATATTTTCATGTCAATACATACAATGTGTTTTTGTGCTTTTTACCCCAGTGGAGTGTCCTCTGGATCATTTGTCACAGTTTATTTTAACAGTCCCTTGTCCATAGAGAGTTCCACTGTTTTCAGTCCTTTGCTAGGACACATAATGCCTCAGTGACAAACTAAGGCATGTGCCACTTCCTCTGTGAACAGGTATATCTGTGAGCTAAATGCTCAGACTAAAATGGCTGGGTACAAAGACATATGCATATACTAATCATAATAAACATATCAAGTTATGTGACAGAGAGGTAGTAATAATAAAGAACTACATGTGTCAGTTGGGTGGCTAAGCTGTAATCAGAAAATGGGACACCCTTTTAAAATGTCATCACACGCTATCTTATTTGCACCTCCTCATTACCCTAGGGAGATGGGAGCTTGGCTGCTATTATCACCTAACCACCACTGCACTACAACTATAGGCAAAGGAAGCTTGTACACTTGTCATTAAAAGAGGATCCAATTAGTAGTAAAAATGGGACTAGCACTAAAGGTGATTTCCTAGTTGTTATCTGGCATTATTTTCTTCTTTATGCATACTACTGTTCGGTACTTGTCATTGAATCTTGTGGCAAGATTCCCTTGTACCTATGAATCTTTCTTAAAGACTATATGGACACTGCTTTATTTTATTGAATATTAATTGTATTTAATTCAGTAACTTATATTGGGCCATGTTCAAAGTATACTATATGTCACTGTTTACAGTATAGTCTTTGAAATACTTTGCACTTTTTCCACAGCTCCACTATCAATCCCTATCAATGCATATTGACATTATTATTGGAGAAATTGGCAGTATTGCCATGGGTATTAGAAAAATTGTCTTGCAGCCTCCTTTTGATTAAGTTATTAAAATACTTTGGAGGCAAATGATAATTTCATTTCTGTGGCATTATCTTCATTTACATATACATTATACATTATGTATAAACTAAAATGTACTATTGATTCAGAATATACCAAAAAACACACTTGCTGGTTCTTTATAAGATAGAACATGTGAAACTTTAAATGTAAGAATAAAAATGATATCCTGAGGAGCTACCGTTTTCTCCTCCATTTTTCTGCTAATTTATGTCTGAACTACAAGGTGCAAGGAGAGCAAGTGCCTGTAGTTACTCAAGTTAAGTATCTCAGCCCGAGGCTCTTGGCAATCTTCATTCACAGAACGCCTTTGAAGTCACAGTGTGTTCCACACAGGCACAGATATGTGCCAGGGTGGGGTGGTCCCAAGATAGTTCTCTTTTCCTCATACCAAGGTTCTGCCCACCCAGGGAGTGAAGTGACAAAGGTAGCTCTTTGTTCTTGGTGCACTTTATTACCTTATTTTTTAAAATTTCTTTATTGATTATAGTATCACATAATTGTCCTCATCCCCCCATTCCCATCCCAAACCCCTCCCCATGTATGCCCAACCCCTATTGTCCATGACTTCTGGTTAGGCATATATGCATACACACAAGTCCTTTGGTTGGTATCTCCCCTTTGCCCCTCCCCTCCCCTACCTTCCCTCCGAGGCCCGACAGTCTGATCGCTGCTTCTCTGTCTCCAGGTCTGTTTCTGTTCATTTATTTTGTTCATTATTTTCCCCTAGATGCGTTAGATCTATTATGTTATTTTCAATGCCACCCTGGAGACTGTGGTCATATCGGGATGCACGTCACAGCCTTTATCCAATGAGAAGATGTAATTGATCTGCAATAATGAGCAATGGCATTAAGCATGAGGCATCATCCCTTTAAAATGTCATAGGCTGGTCATGTGATTTTTATGGGAACCTCTCTCTTCTTAGCAGCTAATTTTCTTCCAGATGCCTGTTCACTGTCAGCTCCCAATGTTTCCCATTAATGTCATTTCAAGAATATGAATGAGTGAGTTCTTCCTGCTAAGAGATTCCTTAGCTCATTTGCGGAGCGCTGAGATGATATGTCTTTTCGATCATAAAGGGTGATCTTGTATTTTAGAACAGGAATCATTGAAAGTTTTAGACTCAGAGAAAATGTACTTTTGTTTCCAGAAATAAATCAAAAACAGAATATCTGATGGCTGTGTTAACAGATTTCATCATTAGTTGGCAAAACTCTGTCAAATTTTCATGGAGCTTTTCTGCCTCTTAATCACATGTGCTCCAACTCTGTGTAATTAAGTTCAATTTTAAGCATCAGATAAGACTCACATGCAAACTCAAATACAAGAAGGAGCAAAAAAGATTGGTTCAACATATTTTTTTAATTCTTTACTGTTTAACGTATTACATATGAATCCTTTTCCCCATTGACCTCTTCCCACTTGCTCCTGCTCACAGCCCCCCTCAGCACATGCCCTCACTCCCCCTACTCACTGTGTCCACTGTGGCAAACAATATGGGGTTTCCTCAAAAAATTAAAAATGGATCTCCCATTTGACCCAGTTTCAACATATTTAAATTAATTAAACACTAAACATGAAATAGCCAATATGTATGCTCAGTCACTCAATTTAAGAAAATAGACACATAATTATTAACTATGTGTCTAGATTATTCCTCATGCGACTGGGATAGGGGAGGCTGGGGGAAGGTCAAGGGGGAGGGAAGAAAGAAAATATATGTTATACTTTAAATAATAAAAAAAGAAAAAAAAGTAAATAATGCATCTTTTTATTTTAAATTCTTTAGAGGGCATTATGCTGAAATGAACTCAAATAAAATTTAAGAACATGTGGATAAATATAATACTCTTTTCTACATATTTCTTTCTATCCTCCAGTTTTTCTAGGAAATTTTTACTTACCCATTGTTGGTTTAGATGCCACCTACTCCCTGAAAACCGACCAGACAGCTCAGTATTGGGCCCCTATTTGTGTGCTGCTTAGATTACTGCAACTACCCTTGATATAACTGTTCATACACTTCTTTTAGGCTATAAACTCATAGCCTGAGATCATACCTACATCTTGTCTGCAGCACCTCTCATATTTGTGCTTAATGAGTGTCCAATGAAGAAAACTGGGAAGGATTGAATCATGTTGCTTTCTTTCAGCTCCATCTTCAAAGGCTCTGCTGTTTGTGTGTATAGCATGGCTGACATCAGAGCGGTTTTTAATGGCCCATATGCTCATAAGGAAAGTGCAGACCATCGCTGGGTGCAGTATGATGGAAGGATTCCTTACCCCAGACCTGGAACTGTATGTATTCAGTTTAATAACGAAGTCACTTTCGTAAGCCCATGTTCTCTTTTTAAATCTATTGTAATAAACTACATCCTTCACCACAGCAATAAGTACTATGTTGTTTTTTTAAAATTACTATTATTTATTTATGTGATGTTTTAACATTTCCATCCTTTACTGAAATTTAACCTTTTTCTTCTGAGTAAAAATTGTTAATAATATAGGAAACAATGAACTTAATCTTAAAGTGCAGACTACGCTGAAAATATAGCACTTATATACTACTTACATGGTACTTATGGTACTTACATAGACTCAATGAGTCTGCAGAATCATCAAAATGATTATCTAGAATGAAAAATATTCTTATTTGAAGGAAATGCCAATTAAGTATTTATTCCTGAACTAAAGCACTACATATATGTAGCTAGAGTCCCCACTTAAACAACTTCATCAATTAAGGAGATTCATTCAAATTATCTCCTTTCTTATGCAACGATCTTTCTTTAATTTTATTTATTTATTTATTTAATTTTTTAAAATAAATTTTTATTGTTCATATTATTAAAAATGTTCCCCCCTCCTCCATTGCTCTCCTCCACCAGGTTCCCACCCTACCCTCTGCCCTTTCCCTACCCCCCATTGTCCTCATCCATAGGTGCAGTTTATGTTCAGTCTCTTCCCACATCCCCCTCTCCCCTTTTCCCCAAGAATTGTCAATTCACTCCCCTTCTATACCTCTGATTCTATTATATTCAACAGTTAATATTGTTCATCAGATTTTTTTTTAATTTCCTTGGTTTTTAGATTCACTTATTGATAGTTACGTATTTGTTGTTCATAATTTTTATCTTTATTTACTTTCTCTTCTGAAAGAACCCCCTTCAGCAATTCATATAATTCTGGTTTGGTGTTGATTAACTCCTTTAGCTTTTTTTTTATTTTTTTATTAGTAAAGCTCTTTATCTGACCTTCAATTCTGAGTGATAGCTTTGCTGTCTAGATTATCTTTGGCTGTAGGTTCTTACTATTCATCACCTTGAATATTTCTTGCCATTCCCGTCTGGCCTGCATGGTTTCTGTTGAGAAGTCAGCTGACAATCGTATAGGTGCTCCTTTATAGGTAACTACCTGCTTTGCTCTTGCTGCTTTTAATATTCTCTCTTTGTCTTTTGCTCTTGGAATTTTATTATGATGTGTCTTGGTGTGGTCCTCTTTGGATTCCTTTTGTTTGGAGTTCTGTGTGCTTCCTGGACTTGTAAGTCTAATTCTTTCAACAGGTGGGGAAAGTTTTCTGTCACTATTTCTTTCAGTATGTTTTCGATATCTTGCTCTCTCTCATCTTCTGGGACCCCCATAATTCTGATGTTGGTTTGCTTGAAGTTGACCCAGAGGTTTCTTACATTATTTTCAATTTTCTGGATTATCTTGCCTTCTAGCTTCTGCAGAGGAGTGTCTTCTGGCTCTTTATGTTCCAAATCTTTGACTTGATTCTTGCGATCTTCCATTCTGTTTTTAGGACTCTGTATAATATTTTTTTTATTTCAGACAATGTATTCTTTATTTCTTGTTGATTTCTTATCATTTCTTATTGATTCTTTATTAATTCTAGTTGATCCCTTTTCATATCCTCATAGTCTTATAGATCTTTTCTAGGAAATTCTTGAAAAACCTCATAAATGTAGATTTGAACTCTATATCCAGTCACTATTTGTCCTCCATTTCTTTCATTTGTGATCTATTTTGTGTAAATGTCTCAAGCATTTTCGAAGCTACCCTGATGGGGCAGGGTTTCAGGGTGGAGCCTACAGCCTTGGCTTCCATCAGCCCCGCCCTATGTGGCTCCTGAGTCTCAGGGTCCTTCAGTACTCATTGCAAATGCCTCTGAGAGAAAGGTACCCTCGATTTTTGCCTGCTACCAAACAGTCTAGGCTCTCCCCCAATGAGTTCGGTATTGGGGTTCAGTTCAGTTGGAAGTGGAGTTGGAGGTGGCGTTCAGAGCACTGCTTCCCACCAGGGCAATCCCAAGGCACAGCCAACTGTCCCTTCTCTGCGCGCAAAGTGCACGCCTCCGGGACCTCCTTTCACCGCTCCCCCAGGGTTCCACCTTACAGCCCAGCTCCCTGTGGATGAGCTTGGGTCCCCGGGGTCTGGCCTAGAACTGGGGTTCAGAGCAGTTGGAACTGGGGCCCAGCACAGTCAGAGCTTTTATCTCCTTCCCGCTAGGGAACGCCAGCCAGGCACTCAGCCACCCCGCCCTTCCTCTCCGGCTCCATCCTCTCCACGCGTGCCATGTGTCTCTGTACCTTAGGATTTTACAGCTCCTCCGCTCTTCCTTCTGGTTTTCTCCTTGCTTCTCGTTGTAGAATTTCCAGTCAGTCGACTTTCCTGTAGTTCTGGGTAATGTCCATTTTATATTTTAGTTGTATTTTATTGAAATTGTTGTGCGCAGCTAGGGCTAAGTGTTTATCTGTGCAGCCATCTTGAATTCTTTCTCTGATCTTTTTTTTTTTTTTTTAAATACTGCTTCTTGGAATAATATGCATAGGTTAGCTAAGAAATGGCATAGAGAATCCTGGGTCCAAAATTCCATTCAAGTACTATAAATTGTATTTAAAACATAGATGAAACAAGAAATGTGTTTTAGAGTTTATACATTTGTCTACAAAACCATTGCAGAAAATAAGTATGTGCATTATAAATGGAAGGCTTCTGTCTTACTGTTGATGTGATTAAAACAGTTTGTGATTTAAAGCTTTAAGTATTGGTTATTAACCAATACTATATTGTTCTAATTCAATATATATTGAATATTCAATATTACATATTGAACTTATATAAATAAAAATGCCATTTATCCCATTTAGGACTTAGTATGAATATTACTACCAAGAGATCTAAAATTATCATCAAAATCTGAGAAAATTTGTTGCCCTAACCTGTCTAATTCTACTAATTTTTTTTTTAGGTAAAACTATGAATCTTTTTATTTTCTACAAATCTCCAGGTCTAAAAATTTAGTAAAAAAAAAAACCAATTAAACATGCCTCATGATCCAGGCACAGTGATAAGTATATCTTTACAACAACATGAAGTAGATATTTTATGGGTAAGAAAAAGTTCAATGAGTGTCACCTCATGCTCATAGTCTAATAGTTTATGAAGTGATAAGACTGTGATTCAGCTTAGATCTACAGAACTTCAAATCCAATGCTGTTATCTCCATGCCATTCCATCTTCAAAACGATAAAAGCAAACCACCAAACAAAACCTCGCGTTGTTTCTCCAGGCAGAAATGGTCTGTTCTCTGCACAAATAATGATGAAGTTTTGAAGCCATTTTTTTTTTGCACTTGCCATTCCTTTTTATGTATTCCTTATTGTACTTGTAATTAGAGGAACATATCACACTTTATTTAATAAAAATATTGCTGAATAATATGCTTCCTGTGAAATAACAAGATCTTTCCTGAAAACCACTTTCTTCTCAAGTTAAAAATTTAAAATAGATTATTACAAACCACCTCTGCTTTTACAATTTCTGCATCCATTTTGCTGTCAAAGTTGAGTTGTAGCTTGTTCTCCCAAGAGTGACTTCTGTTGACATTACCACTCAGGTAAATAAACACTACAACTTGCAGGGTGCCATAGCTACTTTATTTTTTTAGTTCTGACATAATTATGCAGTTCCTGTGACAAGGCAAACCTAAACTCCTAGCCTTGCAGTGATAGCAGTACCCTACAATGTTCATTACTAAGCCTGGAAACGTACGGATGCACAGGATATATTTACAGGATCCCTTCAAGGGATTCTTCCGCCCTCTGGTGTCCAAATAGCATGACTGAACAAACTGTGTTTTGTTCTGATGGACTTTGTAAAGCATTAATGTGCTGGGAGTTGGTAATGAGAGGTTCCAAGTGACATGAAATATGGAATGATGTGCCATACAATGAATAGCACAGGTCAGATGTGGAAATCAAACTGAGACCATGAGAAAAATATCAGGATGTTAGCTAATATATTATTTGAAGAAAATTTTTTAAAGCATATTTCTTTTTTTTAATATTTGATTTATTACAAATGATATACTCTGTAATTTTATTCTGTTTTGATAAGGAATTTTTAGGATGTATGCATAAATGCAAAGTACTTGATGTTTACTTAAATGTGAGTTTCCGTTCTTAAACCAGTCTCTTATTGAAAAAGTGAGAGGAAAGTACTTAAAATTGTGTAGTTGTGGTAAGAACATTTAATGTGAGATCTACCTTCTTAACAGACTTTGAAGTGCACAACACATTATTGTTATCTATAGGCACAGTGTTGTACAGTAGATCTCTATAACTTACTCATCTTATGTAACTGAAATTGTATGCCCATTGATTAATAAGTTTCCAATTTATTCCCTCCCCGGATCCTGGGGGGAGGAAAGGAATCATAACTCTATTCTTTGCTTCCATGAGTTTGACTACTTTAGATAACTTATATGGGTGGGATCATGTGATATTTGTCATTCTGTGACTTACTTGTTGAAGTTAGCATAGTGTCCCAGTTCATCTCTGCTGTCATATATTGCAGGATCTTCCTTCCTTTTTAAGGCTGCATATGTATAAATCTATCACATTGTGTGTGTTTTATCTAGTCAAATATCAGTGGACATTTAGGCTGTTTCCACATTCAGTATGAAGATTCCTCAAAAACTTAGGAATAAGGTTATATAGTCCAGCAATCCATTTCTGGGTATTTTTATTCAAAACAATTGAAATCAGGATCTTGAAGAGAGATCAGTACTCCCTTATTCCTCACCACACTATTCACAATAGCCAAAATGTAGGAAGTACTTGTTTTTAAAATTCAAATATTAAAGAAAATATATGTTTCACTGCTTATGAATTATTGTGCCAGTTTTTGACAATATATAAAACTCTAATTTTGTAAAAATAACAAATTCCATGTCCCCCCAAATAGTTATTACTTTTACTGTTAAACTTTTAAACTTTATTTTTAAAGATTAAACA